TGTGTGTGTGTGTGTGTGTGTGTGTGTGTGTGTGTCGTCCTCAGAGCTGCACGAGAAGGACTACGGCGGACAGAAAGCCATATACTGGGAAGTGAAATATCCATTACCTCTGTCCAACAGAGATGTATCCTACAAACACACTTCATGCTCCGACAAATACAGTGTGTGTGCGGGAATAGACAGATTCATGTAAACTCTGACCAGTGTCTGAAAATAACATCTCTCCATTTATAATAATATTTCATTCAAATAAGTCTAATAAATAAATCTATACCAATTAATATATTTATTGGAAATAAATATTATTATAAATGTATATTATATTATTATAGATTGGAAAACAATATACGCATTTTCTAAAAACAATATGCAGCATTTTAACAGTATAAAAACATTACATTTACAGTATGTCAGATGAAATTACAATTTAAATTTTTTTTTTATATATTTTATATTTTAACAATATAAAAACGAATTGTTCTTTCCAAATTAATTTCAGTTCATTTAAATCTATTTTCAATTCATTGAGGTATTATGGCATCCCTGTACAAGCTTAAATCAGCCTCAAATACAAAAGTAGAAATCATAACAGCTTGCTTTCTCTTTTGTCTCTGGCAATAACGCTGAGGTTCCCCTTCATCAGAAACACAAATGTGTTTCTTGTAGTATTTTTTTAAGTATATTAATAATTGATAAAGGCATGGCTGTATTTGTCTGTGGGTGAGCTCTTAACTCTCTTCAGTATGTGTATGTGCGGGAGCGCCGGGATCTGGACGTGGGAGGACGGAAGATCTGTGTGGTTTTAGCCAAGAGCTCGGCTGTGTCTCAGTGTCCAGAGAAGAAGGGTGTGATCCGGGTCAAAGACTACAAACAGAGTCTGGCCATGGAGAGCGACGGCTCTGGCGGCACCAAAGGTACAAACACACGTCTAACACACTCAAGCTGATGAGCTCGGCTTCACTGGAGCTCAGACTGTGTTAACCAGACGCTGCACAGTGTCCATCAACAGTGTTATTATGCTGATCCAAAAACCCTGCTCCATCTGATTCTTATGTACACAATTATGTGTGTGTATATACACACATATATAACAGCATTTTTGTTTTCAGTGAGGGCAGAAATATTGTTTGATGGATCTTCTCGTGTTTCTATGTTTGTCTGGTTAACAGAGTCTAATGTGTCTCCATTATTCCTCTTGAGGTTTATTAAAGGTGGCTAATGCATGCCAAAAACTGTTTTCCCATGATCCTTTAGACTGATCTGAGAGACTCATTGTGATCTTTCAGATCAAATCTGTAATGATAATATCTTCCCATTGCGTCCTGAAGCTGAATGAATAATAACAGCGTTTGTTCTGAATCGTATTGCAGTGTTTATGAACTACTTTGACAATCCTGGAGGAATGATCCCAGCGTGGCTGGTGAACTGGACCGCGAAGGTGAGTGCTGTAGATTTCTGGTGTAATCCGTGATGAGGTGAGTGTGCTGATGGATGAGTTTTGCTCTCAGACGGGCGTCCCTGCCTTTCTCACCGACATGAAGAAGGCCTGCAGTAACTACAGCAGCTACTGCAACAACAGCAAGTGACGCACGAGTGACGTCCTCTGCTTCTGTTTCCTGTCAGGAGGGCATTCTGGGTAGAGTTACTGCTGTTTCTGTGGTGATCGGAGAAAACGTTCCTGGAGTCCTTCATTAATGTTCTTTTGTCTTAACTACTGTATACAATTATCTGTTAAAGAATTGAATGAATCCAGCTTCCTGTTGAACTTCAGCAGGAAATTAGAGCTAATTTGAGTTTGGAAAATCTGTTTAATGTAATATGGATTGATCCCAGCACTTTAATTGATTGTTATTTGTGAATGTATGAAAAGATTAATTGTTATATAGCGAATGCACAAACTCAATCAACAAGCCTTCCTGAAGTCCCATCAATTCTGCATTTATTTGATCAAAATGAAAGAAATAAAATGTTAAAATTCTGAAATATTATTACAATTTAAATTAACTGTTTTCTATGTGAATATATTGTAAAATGTAATTTAT